TAAAACTTAGTTGCCAACTTGTTACTGCCAAACAAACAAGCATTATTCAAGCACAATGAAGGATCGGTGTTTCCGCCTCTCACTAGTTTCTGGTGCATTATGATGTGTCTTTATCAGAGCAAAGGTGACTTTGGTTGCAGAGAGTGAGTCTGTTACAGTAGCTGCATTTCAACACAGGAAGTACTGATGAGTCTGACATGACATCCTCTTTAATTCCGGCTAACTCTGTGGCATGAAAGAAAAACAGAACCTGTTTCTTCTGCGTGTTCTGACTGAACATCAGATTAGTGTGTATGCTGGAACATACCAGTTTAATTTGCACCTCACAGCGCTGAGGGGAAGACCCCGACGAGATAAACGTCTGGTTTTTATGGCCTCAGGCAGTCACACAGACACCATGCAGAAAAATCAAACGCATTTTAGCTCCAATTAAATATTCATCGACTCATCGGTCTGATGAACCATTTGCCTCAACTCTTAGAAAATGCAGGGACTCTTCAACTCTTAGTCCCTTTCGTGTGTTTTTTTTTTGTTTGCTGTTGCTTTTATGCTCCGACATCATCATTTTCACTTGCAGCTTGCCTCAACCTGAAACCTGGCAGGTTGTGACTTTGCACAGAAAACTAATACATTCCAAGCATACCACAGGGTCAAAGAAATGGAAGAGCCAATAGGTGGCCAGCTGACTGCCCAGGCCCTCCTCCCCTCCTCATCTGAGGACAACCAAAACAAAAAGAAACAGAGATCCAACAACAGAGAGAGAGTGAAGATAGACACGCCACTGCAAAATGGCCTCAGGTATCTTCAACATTGACTCCCAGAAGTATTGCCAGCTTCCTATTGGACCCCAAACTCCCACTCTTCCTGTCAGCTGCACCAGGAATCAGGAATCTGGAATATTTGGTTTGAACAGGATAAAGAGAACTTTACGACTGCATTTAGGGACGGACACTTTCAATCTACACTTTCATGATCATTATCATACTTGTCTTTCTGACTCGTGTGGAAAAGCACCCATGACACCCATGATTTGTTGCGACTAGTTTATATTCCGTAGCAAAGTCTTGAGTCATCCTTGATGTCCTTTCTAAGCAGCCCGACTTTCGCCTGATACTTTCAATGAATCCTAATCAATAATTAATATACATTAAGCACTTTGTGTGAGCTTTATAAGATTCTAAACTCAACTTATTAGTTGACATATCAATCAATCAATCAATCAAATTTTATTTGTATAGCACATTTCAGCTACAAGGCATTTCAAAGTGCTTTACATCATAAACACAAACACGAAGGCATGCAACATAGAATAAAATACCAAGGTTTTTTTTTTTTTTTTTTTTTTTTTTCCCTTTTTCTTTTTCTTCTCTTTCTCCCTTTTTTCCACTTTCCCTGTTCTTTCCCTTTCTTCCCCTTCCCTTTGACACGGAATTTAAGCGCCTGTTACCGCCGGACTCCGCCGTCCGTTTAACCACGGGTATTCGCCGGGCCCCGTTGCCCACAACAGGAAAAAAAAAAAAAAAAAAAAAAAAAATTACATACATATCCACAAAATCAAATCCATACATATTACATTTCAAATGCAACTCTAAACAGGTGTGTTTTTACTTGAGATTTGAAGGAAGTCAGGGTTTCCGCTGTTTTACAGTTTTCTGGAAGTTTGTTCCAAAGTTTTGGTGCATAGATGCTGACATATCAGCCATTGGCGTAAAACCTTTTAAATTAGACCTGACTTTGACAACAGCCCTCAGTTAAGAAGACACAGACGCCTTCATTTTTATGTTGTAACACCAACTGAAAAATGATACAGTAATAAACTAAAAAAAAAAGACATCGGTTTGGTTCTATACCTGACCATGTGTGTCTCTGTCTGATGTTACTGACTTTCAGATGCTTTCTCTACCGTTGTGGGTTCAATCAACTACAGGCGAAAGCGTCCACCACCAAGAGGGACAAACCCAACACACGGGACAAAAAGGTCTTGTCTAGTCATCCCATTTACTTATTTTTAGCCACACACTCTGCAGTATGCTGCACTGGTCAGGTGTAGACACCAAACAGCAAATGTGTAAAAAATTGAATGATTACAAATGACTTTGACTAACCAGATGCTATGAAATTGAGGTGGTTTGAAACTATTGCACAAATCAGTATTCTTAGCCTATTGCCTTCATCAAATAACTCTGAAGCAGACAGCAACGACTCTTTGAAGCAGCGACGCAAGAACAACATCAAGAGCCAGACACTCCATCAGCACTTTGTTATGTGTCTTTACAGATTTATACAGTTTGTACAAAACCTCAGCTTACAAGGGAGAAGGGAGGAAAATGTAGGTGTTGGAGATAAAAATGATAAACCACCACAAGACATGCAGAGTGCACAAATCTCTCTCATGAACAGAAAGTGGGAATTTATTGCTAAAGTAAATTAAGTTCTGTAAAAAAAAAACAATAATAATAATGCTCTATAAATAGCAAATAGCAGCTGCGTGAAATAATTTTTTAACTCAGCCGCCTGGCTTCCAACACACAGCAAAGAGAAACACAAGACAAAATCCTTTACTGAACCAATACTACAATTGCAATACCATCTTCAGGCATCCCAAAGACTGCAACATAACTCTTGATCTTTACCTGCATTCATTTCCAACTATTTTACATTTTATTTTGCCCCCACACTCTCTCCTCCATGTAGGGCGACCTTGCATGGCAACGACCCCTGAGGCGTGGAGCTGGGACAGCACGTCGACCCGACCCGCTAACAGAACCAATGTTTTTGGTACATATTCGGTCTGGCACGCTGCAGAAATTAAACCAGCGAGCGGTGAGCTCTGCATGGTTGCTCACCACACAGAGGAAGAGGTCAACAAGTCTCTTCCTGTATCAAAGCAGAACTGCAGCGCAGATAAGAGAAGTTTATGGAGATGCTCTGTGATCAAGGATGGATAGGCCGCTGTGATTGGCCGAATGAAATCCAAAACCAGACGACTGCGGAGTTGAAAAGAATTTCATTCATCTGGAGAAAGTTTGAGAGAGCTTGTTGTTACACACACTCACTGTCCAGGATATTCTCGTCTATGCTACACTGTGCAACATACAGTGTATACTGTACTGCAATCATTTTTCATTTCAAAGTGTAAAAGTGAAAAAAGCCCTTAAAATGGCAAATATTTTCAAAACATTAGCAATATTTCACTGATTGGCAACTACTTCTAAACAGCTGTTTTGTTGGAAATGCTGGATGCAACATGTGAATTAAATTGTTGCAACTTAAAGGCAGCAGGGAGAGTCCTGCTCATGTAAAGCCGAGTTGCACATAGCCTTAGGAGACACATTTTATTTTGACAACTTGCTGAAGCCCGCCCTGTGTCAGCCAGAGCAAAACGTGTCTCATCCTGTTCCTGACCTGCTTCCAGTGAAAGTCATTAGTTCTGTGACGTTCCACTGCAAAGCGAAATGACACTCTCCTTTTGTTCCAGAGCATTTTGTAAATATGTATGTTGCATGTTATTGTTTACGTGTGGAAATTACATGCACATGCCTGAAGTTAGAGGGCAAAAGGAGGATTGTTTTAATTGGCGTCCACAGCAGCGCTGGAGCATTTCAGTTAGCAGAGTGAACCCCGGAGGTTTAGCTGTTATTCATTTAGTGTTTGCGCATCAGAGCAAACAGAAAATAACAGAAAAACCTCAGAGGAACAACTCAAAACCACTTTTTATCTTTTCTCACTTTCTGTGTCAGCTACTCTACACACAGACCTGTTACCACGACGATTGAAACAGATAATCTCATTTAAACTCCTACTGTTGTTGTGTCAGAGAGTCAGCGTGAACGTTCCCCTTTGAGTTTTTGCCGGAACTGAAACGCAGTAATCCTGCAGCACGTCTACATGCTAAGGTTGTTAAAGTCAAGCTAGCACTACTGACCTACTTCCCTTGCTACTTTTTATGAATTAAAACTTTTCTTGAACCTGTCTAGTTGACGTAATTTTGACAATTAGTACAAACATACATTGTCCCTTTATTTTCTGTGCATTATGTGTAGATTTAAGATCTAGAGAGTTATATTGATGACTTGACAGGTATTGACAGCCATCATCCAGCTTTTTGCAGGATCTTGATGTGCCGTCATCTTGCAACATGTCTATATGTTCTTAATGGTCACTGCACATCATGTACATATGGTGCGATTAATGGGACATATTTATTTATTCTATTTAGAATCAAATTCAAATGTGCATAACTGACTTTGAATCTCTATCTGATCAGGCTGAACTGACTATATTTCTGCATATTAATCAGATGGGATTTTTTTTTTTGTTGAAAATGTGCTTTGAGACAACATTTGATCTGAATTGCTGCCATATTAATAAAAACCAAACTAAGCTGAGTTTAATGGACTTGCTGGTCATGGTGAAAGGACACTTACAGTAAAGGAACTTAATGGCATCATGGGACAATATGAAGTATATTTTTATAGGCTGTTTAAATATTAGCCATGAAAAAATATTTTCCTTTAACTCAAACATATTAATCAATATTCAGTAATTGTTAGATTACTGAATAATTAGTTACTTTGTTATAGTGAAGTTTTTTTTTCTTTTCTTCTTGCCTGTGTCTAAAATTGCATCACATTTTCTGCACAAGGAGTTAAAATCTGTCTGAAGCAAAAGAAACAAAAAAAGGGGCCCCCACGTTAAACTCTGCTCAGGGCCTCGTACGCTCTTGGGCCGGCCCTGGTTCTACACGTCCCTCTTGACAATTTCCGACCTGGACGAAAGAAAAAAACGAAGCCACCTTTCTCCATCTGCTCTGGTTTTGAGAAGTGGAGTGAAGTGGCCCCCAGGGACCAGGCGGGACCAGCTGATCGCATCTGGACACCGCGCAGAGGCTCGGCTTGTCCGCAGGTGAGTGTGCGCCGCCTCGGCCAGGTAATGGCTGAAACACCGGATCCCTGCTGACAAACCTGCTGGTACAATCGGGTGAAACACGAGCGACTCACAGATATCTGTCGGAGCCCTTGGTCTGTCTGTGCAGAGCCACCGAGAACCCAAACAAGCTGCCGGCGGTTTTCCCCTGTTTGACCACAGGAAACTTCACATCCACGTTAAATCCGTCGCAGGTCGGCGCCCCGCGGTACGCGGCCAGAGCAGTCCAAACTAATAACCGTAGAAACATGTTTAGGTTCCTCATCCGCTCCGGGTTCAGTCGGTTTTAAGCCCCAAACTCCGCGATCAGGTCCACGATCAGCCGGGGCCCGACGTCAGACCAACAGGTAGGCTGAGCAGACTGCAGCCAACTCATGAATCAGTGCTGAGATGTGTGTGTGTGTGTGTGTGTGCGTGTGTGTGTGTGTGTGTGCGCCGCTTCCCTCCCTCCCTGCCTCTCTCGCTCTCCTTTTCCTCGCAGCCTGTCTGAAAGCAAGTGCAGTCGCTCAGTCCCAGCAGCTGCCTGGTTACAGTTTCTGTCTGACCGCCTGGACGCTTTGAGACGCTGCAGTCAGTTAACAGCAGAGCTCAGCTGTATCTGATGAACCTCCTGCAGGCTGGTGAAGATGTCCAGACAGGTGATCACAGCGAACTTACTGGGAAAATATAAATAAATAAACAGTCCCTCTCACTAAACGGTTGTAAAAACTACAGAAGTTGCGCAAATTGGAATTACAATGTGAACCTGCTAATTGCACAAAAACTCAGTTTCTTCCAAATAAGAAAAGTTCTGGCGCCTGGGAAAGATTGTCCTTTTTATATCTGGAGTTGTAAGTCCAAGGAGCTTTTCTAGCTCTATGTTAACACACTCCTCACATGAGCTCTCTTGTGACGGCCGCCGTCTCTCATTAAACCCCTAATCCCCTCCCAGAGCTCCCGGAGCAAGGCAGTGTTTCAGATTCAGGTCCCCTCACCCTGCCCCCATCCTGCCACCGGGAGCCTTTTGTCAGGTGGGGATCTTCTCTTCACCTGGCGCTTCCACAGTGCAGCTTGTGATCTGTCATCTTGTCCCATCCATTTCGTCGGTCTTGGCTAAACTCTGGGACCGCTGACCGGTCAGGTCTTTGACTGATCAGATCACCTGAGATGAAGAACTGATTCACGACGCCTCGAGGGGGTCAGAGTTCAGCGAGCGTATTCCACAAGCTTTTAATGTTTCTCAGTTCCTCCAGTAGATTTGGAAAAAAAATGTATGTCATTTAGGACAATGAAAAAATATAACTGTTATTTTAAGTGCTGCTGAATGCACAAGATGACCAAAAACACATGCTGATTACAGTTCCTATGGTAACAGGGGAGGCAGGTTTCTGACCTGCATCTGGATCACAGTCACACTGGCTCAGATGTCACTTCCCAGATCCAATATCCAGATTCCCGGGTCACGATGTGGCATAAACGGCCCGATAAAACAAGACAGCAAAAGGCAACTTTTCTTTTGTGTTTCTATTTTGACCTTTTTTTGCGAGAAAAGCACATCTGATCCTGAATGTGGGTGGACAACATGTCAGTGTATACAGTGTCAACATCCTGTTGCAGGCTTCCATCTGGAACGGCGACTGACACTGAGCAGATCTGTGCTGCCATTCAACTCCCAGGAGGAATGTCAGATTAAACAACAAATCAGAACACCTCACTCCTCCCAACTTCACTTCATTTCACATTCTGATAAAGAGTTAGTGAAAGTAGCAAACCCTAACCTCTCACTCACCTTTGATTAAGAAAAAAAAAGGATCAATTATGCTGCTTTGTTTACCTAAAACTGCTTTACTTTTACATAAAAGTTTTTTTTGTTTTTTGTTTTTGGAAATTGGCCCCTCCTCAAACTGTTGCTGCTCTACTGGTCAACTGACTGCCAGATGCAAGTGTTTTCATTCATCCAACAATGAGGGACATAGATGCATAAGGTACAGTGGAGCGGATAAAGGAAAAATAATAATTTTTTAAAAAAATTCCGCCTTTCCGTATTCCCCAGAGCCCACAGTGAACCAGCACCCCACTCTGCAGCACGCGCAACACCCCACTCTGCAGCACGCGCAAAGATCCGGCTGCAGCTCCAGAATCCCCCCTGCTCTAAATCTCTTCACTCACTCAGCACACATGGAATGTACTTTGCAATTTATCTCACAGTTTCCTGTTGTTTCCTCACCAACGTGACCGCATGCCCCTCCCCCACTGTCATAATTCTGCCCCCACACGGCGTCCCCCTCGACCCCCCCCAAAAAAACAAAATACACCAGTTCCCTCACTTCTTGTAACAATTTAGTTTGTCTTTGTGTCTCATGAAGCAATTTAATTAAAACGGTTCGCTGCAGCGTATAGGAGGAATGCGTCTTTGCTGCAGCTGTGGTTTGTCGTATAAGCCGAGCGGCTCCATGGAGTCCTCTGAGGGCATCCTTTGAATCAGTGGAGGGGTCGGGGGGAGGGAGGGGGGCTGTCAGGGTGGTGACTGGAGGCTTTGTGGCGCTCTTGATCAGAATGGTGATAATCATAAAAAAAAGCTCTCCAGAATGCTGCTGAAAATAAAATAAATATTGAAGAGGCATTATGAGAAATTAACATTTTTGTGCTCCAGATCATGTTATGCTGTTATTCCCTCATCAAACACATACCTGGAGTGTTGCCTCGATTCTTTCCTGTATGTTTGAGAAATCCTTTGATCTCTGGTGGCGACCATTTAGCTGTGCAAAACGTCAGGGTGGACCTAGCCCCGCCTCCCTCCATGACTCCAATACTCAGCTCCTTTAGACTAGTCAGCAGTAATTAGTAAACTCCTGGTGGAACTGCTGAGCTCACCATAGGAGCTACTTCTCAGTGAAACGCTGGTAAAAACGTAGTTAAGGGATTAATAGAGGAGCCATGTTGTGAAGGCAGAGTTTCAGAAAGAGCAGGAGTTTTTAAAGAGACAGAAGCCCAATTTGAAGTTGTTAAATTCCAAAGTCAAATGTCTTTTAAGTCAAATTTGATACATATATCATTTTTATAGCAATGGAAGTCAGCATAGTTCTTTGATTGTGCTATAAAACAATGTGCCTGGATAAAACATGATGCTGCCTCTTAAGAGGATCTAAATGTGAACTAGTTGCTGGATATTTTGGAGTCAGTATGGAAACAGAAGAATATGATTGGTGCACAGTGTGGTGGCCTTGTGAATGTGAAACAGACTGCCTGAAAATGAGGAGGAGGGCAGCCTCATGTTGATGAATATTAATCTCCATAAATGACCGCAGTTAATGTAACATACAAGGCGAGGACATTGGTTGGATATGAAGCACAGCACGCTCTCACAGACAGGCCGGGCTGCCGGTTGCCATGGATGGTGGAGTTGCTATGAAGCCAGCATGTTCAGACGGCTTGTTGTGTCTGAGCGGAGAGGACGGACTGGCCTGTTTAGACTCCAGCCAGGTCTCACGCTGGGCTAAAATAGCTCCTCAGGAAGGAATAAAAGCTGATCTTCTGTGTTCTGTCTGCTAAACAAAGAGTTTTACACAGATTCCCTCTGAGGAGTTCAGTGTTTACAGAAGGCCTAGCGGAGATTCTCTGTCCACCATGGACACAAAAGGCAATAAACTGAGAACTCCCTGCTTGTAAATGAACTTTTTAATGAAAAATGAACTCATCCTTTTACAAGAGTGCGCCAGTATTATCTCAATAATGTCTGCAGCAGCCATCTATCAACCAGACTTAGGAACCAAACTTAATTCAACTAAGTTCAATTTGTTTTATTTATTCAGGACATATTTACGTCAAATCTCATCTGAAGACACTTTACCAGACAAACGGCACCAATAAATGTCGAATGAAGCGTCTTCTTGTTCAAATTTATGTTTATTAAACTGGGTCCAGTAGAATCCAGCAATGGAGTACAGCAGCATTCAGGTCCAGTTACAGTCAAATTCAAACCCAATTACGATGCAGCACAATCAGAGTGAGCTGACAGTTTATTTCCAGACGGTAAAAGGTTAGCCGTCCGGAGAACCTCAGTGATTGCATCGAGTCGTCCATTTTTCAAAAGGTCTCCGTCCTCAGCCAGCTTCAACGACCGTCTAGAAAAGAGACTCAACTATACACACACACCCACACACACACACACACACACACACACACACACACACACACACACACACACACACACACACACACACACACACACACTGAGCCAATGATGATGATTTCTAGAGTTGATGATGGTGATTCAGTGGACCCTGGCCTGTTTGCAGATTCACCTTCTCCTTGAATTTTCCCTTAAATGTCTAAATTAATCATGAAAATTTTGAATAATGGTGGATTTTTTTCACATCTATGATGTTGAAAAATGCATCTTGAGAAGTTGAAATATTGGAACACAATGCTACTCAGCACGCTATTGGCTGGCGTTTTGCAAAGCAGTCAATCAAGGAGTGCCACTCTGCAAAATCAGATGCTTTACTGTTTTTCAGAGCTTCAGCCTTACAAGGTGAGATTCAGCTCAGTTCCTACAGACTAGCGGTAGCAGCAATTGGCAAACAACAATTGCTGCTGGAGGAACTGTGAGTCTGCTAATTACTTCTCAGTCCAGTGCTCCTAACAGTTTTAAATGCCATGATGGAGTAGCTGTAATAAAGAGCTGAAGGTGGAAAGAGAAAAAGTTTCTTAAAGAGGCAAAGACCCAATTTCAAAATGTCAAACTGTGAACACTGATTTTTTTGAAGTTGTGTTTGATATATGTCATATTTTTATAACTGGAGGTAACAGTTACATGATTATGCTATGAAATGGCAATACATGCATGGAAAATACATAGTACTCTACAGCTGCACATTCTAAAACGTAAGTTGAGTAATTGTTTTTAATGTTTGTTCTGTCCTTTAGAAGTGGGAGTGTGAAGGCAAAGTGTGTCCATCAGCATCAGCATGCCTGTGTTTTCCACATGTCCATCTGTGGAGGTTTTGGACATTTTCGTGTCTTTTGTTGTGTCCAGGTCTCAGTGCTCCAGCAGAGGAATGCATAGCCTGGGGGAGCTAGGTGGGGCCGAGGACACACTCCCCATTGTCATGTTGCACCTGTTTTTCTTAGCTTAGCTTTTCAATAAAGTCAGGATGGGCAACAGGAAATGTCGAGGAAACAGAAAAGCTGCAGTCAACACTGCACTGAAGTATATTCTGTTTTGTCTCTGTGATGATGTCTCATCAAAGAGACCCATAGTGACCCATACCTCCTGAGCCACCATCGCCTCTATCATAGACGTGTATCAAAAACCCAGAGGAATGTTTCCAACATCTTATTGAATCTATGTCACAAAGAATTAAGGCAGTTCT